GGAACTCAGATCATACATACCAGTCTTTATCTCATATTTTACTTTCCAGTTTTACATTCCTGTACTTTCAATACCTGCACTTTACATATCTGCACTGCACTTCAATTCATAGGAGTAGTCTCAAGTAGATTCAAGTGGACTGTTGCTGTAAACCTCTTCGAGGCTGAGTTTGGACTATTGTAAGTTTTTCATTTTTATGAAATACTTCCATTGTTCTTCATATTAATTGTTATTTCTCTTAATTTCTCCTAAGTCAAGCCACCAGCAAAAGTCCTCTTCATTGAGGCTGAAAGAACTAAAACACAATCGTCTGGTAATTGGTTGGCAATCACAATTTCTGTAAGGACTGATTGATCCTTGCTGGCACGCTCACATTTACAAAAATACCCTTCGAAAAAGCCAAAAAGCCAACAGCCGCCGACACCGAAAAATCACTAGAATAAGGGGAAGAGAAACGGTTATTAGATTCAAAGAGAGAGAGAGGGGCGCGTGTTTTTTTAGGGCTTTTTTGGTCTTTTTGTATGAAATGGACATAATGGAATATTATAACACAGTATGGGTTTTATGGAACAACACTCTTAGATAATGGATTTACTAAAAAAGCTCTCTAGATTAAAAGGCAACATTAAAAACTATTCCGAATTGATTAGGGTTGTTTTGAGAAAGTGGTTGAAAATTATTTTTTTGATTTTTTTTTTTAAAAAAATATGTAAAAAAGTAGAGATGATATAATTCAAAAATAAATTAAAAGTTAACCTTTAACTTTTAGTCATCTTCCCAAAAAAAAGCCTTAAATATATATCACAAATAATACTATTAAATATTTTAAGTATTTAAACATTTAACTATACATCACATATGATTTAGGTCGGTTCGGTGACGCTATCACGTCGATCAACCCCCAATCATTGATTCTAAGGGGTCCAAATTAATTGTTACAATAAATACTTTTTTATTAAAAAAATTACTGAAAAATATTAAAAATTAATTCACTTTTCAAACTATATAAAAACGTTATTATTATTATTATTCTTTTTTTTTTTTTTTTCTTACAAATGTGTTTAGCCATTACAATTTCTTTGTTTTCTATTTATATTCAAACTCTCACAGCTTAATTAGAAAGTGAAGGATTTAAGCAAAATTCAAGTAAAAATTAAAGAGGCAAAAGATATAAAAAAATAATTCATAATAATAACTTATTGTATTTGATTTTTAGGCTCTATTTGGCTAGGGTTTTTAGGACTAAAAAAGCACAAAAGATAAAATATAAATAGAAAACAAAGATAAAATATAAATAACCCAAAATATAAATAATCCGATAAGAAAACAACAATGATTGAGATCTCCTTTTTTTGAACCCCTTTTTTTGAGATTCCACAACCTCCTTTGGATCTCAACATCAGTGGTTGAAATTCAAAGGGAGTTGTGAGGGTCCCAAAAAAAAGGTTCAAGCATTTTTCATAAGATAAAATGTCACATCCAAACCATAATCACTTCATTTTTTCTCTCAAAAAAGTCAAAAAAGTCAAAAAAAAATAATCCCAAAGCCTTCGTTTGGCAAGTTGGTTTCCAGGTTTTTTTTGGCTATTTTAGTCATAAAAGACAAAATAGATTATTTTAGCCATAAACAACAAAACATCACATTCAACCCATAATCATTACACTCTTCTCTCACAAAAAAAGTCAAAAAAGTCAAAAATCCAAAAAGTCTTTCTCAAACCAAGCTTTTTAACACAGGCTAAATTAGACAAAAAAGTCAAAAAGTCAAAAAGCCAATCCACTCCCCAAACAAAGCCAAAAAATTCCCAATTCAAAAAAAGTCAATTAAATTTTTTTTGCCAAACGACAAATGTAGTTGTGATTGTAATTCATTTAACTTGCTCCTAATATGATAAATTACAGTATAAATTATAAATACAACCCCATGAGATTTGCTTAAAATATGAATTGTTCCCTATTATTTTGAAAATTATATATCTCACCATTTCAAGTTCTAATCGTATAGCAAATGACCAATTTTATTAATAAATTATCAAGTCAATTAAAAGTTTTTAATAATATTAAAAATATATTTTAATTAATAATTTAAACAATTTTATTATTGTATAAGAGAGCAGTTAGATTTTTTTTTTTTTTTTGGTTGCTAATTTTTTTAACTAATAAAAAATTATGACAAGAAAGTATTTCTAATTTTTCAAATTGGAGGGGACAATCTATATTTTAAATAAATCTCAAATAGTGTATTTATAATTGACCTTAAATTAAATAGTAAAGTGAATAAATTATACAAGTATTTTTTAATGTGAAATTTCAAAAATAATTACAAATTAATGGTAAATTCTATCAACATTAATTACTAAAACTATATAATTTTTCATACATATATAATATATATATATATTTTTCTAAATAACACTGAGGGGTAATTTCCCCTATTTTTTACTCTCAAAGTTTCACTTGAATTTGTTTTGATCTTTAATTTTTTTTCATTACAACCATTAAGTCCTTAGATTGCAATTCGTGTTTTAATGGGATCCTCTTGTCATTTACGGTTAAAAATGAAAAATGCTTTAAATACTTAATTTATCATTCTTAAAAATTACTCTTAATGATGTGTTTGACAAATGTCAAATTTTAATTTATCAAATATTTCATTACGTAAGGTTTGACCTCAATGTCACATCATTAAGAGTTATTTAAAAGTGATAAATTAAGAGAATGTAGTATTATTGGTTGAAAATATAAACTGAAAGTGCTAACGTGGATGGCACAGGAATTGGGGATGCTGTTGTGCAGCTCGCGCAGCAGCAACTGTTGTGCGGTGAAATGAGCCTATTTCGGGGTCTATTTTGATAATCTGAACCATTCACATTTAAAATACATCAAGTACAACATGTCTGCAAAAAATCAAGTTAATCGGATATCGTTTACCCATTCATCCACTCACATAGATACAAATGTGAGTAGATGAATGGGTAAACGATATCCGATTAACTTGATTTTTTGCATACACATTTTGTTTGATATATTCTAAAATGTGAACGGCTCGAATTATCAAAATAAACCCCGAAATGGGCCTATTTCGCTGCAGAATAATTGTTACTGCGCAACCCCCATAATAGTATTCCCAAATTCAGATGGCACATGAGTGCATTTAAGTGTGGTTAGAAGAAAAATTATAGGAGAAATTATATCAACTTTCTAACCTTCACACAAATTTTAGACACCGGATTGATTGGAGGACCAAATCAAAACATAACTTAAAATTTGGAGATTTATATATCTTATACTATTATAAAGAGAAGCCTTCTCTTGGTATGTATGTCTCATATTTTAAATTTTTCAAAATACTCCAAAGCTACATTCAGCTACCCCCCCCCCTCCTTTTTTTTGTCCACCAATTATATCGGTAGTTATGAATTCAATTTTTTTTTTTTTCTTCAAATTACTCAATTGTTAGTCTATCTAGATTTATAAATTATTTTAATTTTTAAATTTTGAATTCAACTATACATTTCACAATCTTATTTTTCTGATGATATGTACACGCATTGTGTGTGCCCACCACTTTTTTTATATATACATAGACAATGTGTGTATACTTTGTAGGTGTGTAGTAAAAAATTGAAAAGTTACAAGACAATAGAACTCACAAAATTTGAAATTGATAATTACATAAGAACAGTTACATAAGGACAATTTAAAAAATTCAAAAAACTCTAGTTATAGATATACGAGTGCTTCTAGTTGAGCTCATTTCTATGCCGTGGTGATTATTCTTAGTTTTGAAAAGGATAGCTATGAATAGTTTGTTGGAGCCATGTAATGCCCATACGCTTGAAACATTTCTAACTAATTTACTCACGAGTAGCTTTCACTTTCTTTTCTTTTCTTTTGTTTTCCAAGAAAATGTTTGCCTATTATGACACTACAAAAGGAAAACAACACAAAACTTTCCGTTTCTTCTTCTTCTTTTGAAATTTCAAAATTTTAAAATCTCATCATTTAATTAGCGTTGCAAATATAATGTGTGTCCTTATTGCATTACAATTATATAAAAATATAAACAATGGCATTTTATGATCTTTCATAAGACTTTTCAAGCATCAAATGCTAATAATAATGGTCTATTTAAAGTTCTCACCTTACAAATGACTATCAATTTCTTGTTTTCGAAGAAAAAGACTAACGAACATATCAATCGGCCCAAACTCATACTGAATTTGAGGTAACATGACAAGTAGAACACATTAATTGCTAAGTTTCAAATAATTACTCGTTCATGAACGTTTTTAATGTAGCGTACCTTAAGAAAAACGTCATGTATGATTTGTAAATTAACTTTTAGGCCAAAGATTTTCTGTCTCAAAATTTGGCCAAAGGGCCGTGTTTGGTTTGAGCTTTTGAAAGGTTTTCTGAATTTTTCTTTTTTTATAAATAAAAACTAGTTTGACCAATATAAAACAACAAACTATATTTTTAAACATTATTTCTGCGCTCTAAAAAGATAAAATTATATAAAAATATGAAGTGCTTTTATTTTTATTTTTTTTGTTCACAAAACTAATTTTTAGTTTAAAAAAATAATAATTGAAACATGTTTCTAAAAAGCAAACCAAACATGGCCAATTCCCAAATTTTTCCTGTCATTCTATCCAAAAATGCTCGCAATCATTTCATCATATGAGAATTTCAAGACATATGTAATGATCGTAAATGTTTTGAAATAAGAGACATAAAATTTGGGAACAAAGAATCTCGTGTCCCAAAATTTCTCACTTCTCTTGTCCTAAAACACTTACAGATATTTGATCGTGTAAAAATCTCGATACACAAAATTTTAGAGGCATGTTTTGAAATAGGAGAACAAAGCGATTTAGCACACCAGATCATCTAACCCTCTCATAAAATGTGTATACCATTATGGTTGAACATAAATAAATAGTCATTATTCATACTCATACACGTTTATATAAATGTTCTCATTTATCTTGCCTTTTTGGAGTACAATTTTCCACAGATAGAGATATCTTAAAACCCAATCCATTTCCAATGCAAAAGCAGTACCAAAATTGCGTAAATCCCACTTGATTGCTCTGCACCTTCCTACTCTCTCTCTCATGCCTTCAGTTCTAAGTATGAAATTTCACTAGCTTTCTCAAAATTTTTCGACTCAATCATCATATAAACTTATATCACATCTCATTCCTCACCTATCTGAATCATTTGAGCCATCACAACACTTTGATGTTTCATTGATAACAAACTGATTGTGTAATTAACACAATTCATGCATAACAAATCGCCAATGGGACGCCAATCGTGCTGTGTTGTGAAGCCCAAGTTAAGGAAAGGTTTGTGGTCACCGGAAGAAGATGAAAAACTGTTCAATTACATTACTAGATTTGGTGTTGGGTGTTGGAGCACAGTTCCTAAACTAGCAGGTGAGCAAAAAACCACCTCACATTTTTTGTTTTCTATGTTGTGTAGAAAAATTGTTTTCAATGTTGTAGATGTTTCTAGGTTTTGTTTTTCTGATTCGTGCAGGTTTGCAGAGGTGTGGAAAGAGCTGTAGACTGAGATGGATAAACTACTTGAGGCCTGACCTCAAGAGAGGAATGTTTTCACAACAAGAGGAGGATCTCATAATTAGTCTACATGAAGCTCTGGGCAATAGGTATTTTTGAACACTATCAATCAAAATTAGTATCTTTTTTACTAATTTTGAAATGGGTATTCATATATTGTTCAAATCTTGGAATGGGTAATACAAAAATTTTGAAATGGGTAATTCAAATTTTGAAATGGGTACTGCTATATTGCTCAAATCTTGAAATGGGTGTTCAAATCTTGAAATGGGTAATATAAATTTTGGTATGTGTAATACAAATTTTGAAATGGGTATTGCTATATTGCTCAAATCTTGAAATGGGCATTTATATATTGTTCAAATTCTGAAATGGGTATACAAATTTTGAAATGGGTATTCAAAATTTTCAGTGTTGTTGATACATTTTCTCGGGAAAATGACAGGTGGGCTCAAATTGCAGCACAATTACCAGGAAGAACAGACAATGAAGTGAAGAACTTTTGGAACTCTTGTTTGAAGAAGAAGCTAATGAAGCAAGGCATTGATCCGAACACCCACAAGGCGCTAATAAGCGAGACAGAGTTGATCAAAGATGCCAAGAATTGTTCAGAAAAACATTCATCATTGGCAAATGTATCGGCCTCAACTGAAGCCAATCAAGCATTTCCAGTTGACAGTACAAGTTACTATGATGGTGGACTTATCACAGATACTACAAGAAATCAATTTGGAACCAAACCAATCTTCGATCCTCTTTTCTTGTCTGAATTTCAAGTGAGTACTGATCCAATTGTGTACAATTCGAATCTTTTGACACAATATCAGCAAAATATGGATTTGAATCCAAACTTTGGATTCTCTGCAATGCCCAATTTAGCTAATTTTGATCACGGAAACATGTCTGAGATGGATTTTTCTGATAATTCTGCTTCGCAAATGAGTTCTTTCTTGTTCAACGACGTGAAAGAAAGTTCAAGCAATAGTTCAAATGTCAATAGCCACACTGGCTTCCAAATCAACAACATGGTGGAAAATTCAGCATTTTCATGGGGCGTCGAAAACAAGTTAGGACCCGTTTTTCAGTGCCAAATCAATGGGAGCAAATCTGAAGAAATGAAGCCGAGTCCATGGCCAGAAAGTTTCGGTAGCTATCCATTGATGTCACCATCAGAAGATCTAGCCGGGGCAAGCATGGATATTTTCCAGCAGATATAATCTGTAAATTTTCATTTTTCTTTCACTTTCTCTACAAACAAACACACATGCACAGATGTTGATAGTACAGGAAAAACTCCTACAGAAGGGTTGAGGTGAGCAATTTAATTTTCCCCTTTTTCTTTTGTTTTTTCTGTGTTAATAAAGTGAAATTTTGTAATCTTTTTGTATTTCACTCAAGTGTATTTGTTTCAAGAATTGAATTAATCAATGTTTTCTGTAATTGTATTGAGTGAAACTAATTTTGTGGTTCAAAACTGTCCACTGATTTTATCGTAATATATACAATTATGATGTTATTTTCATGCCAATCTTTTCCCCTCCTTTCACCAATCTTTTTCTGAGTGCAAGTCTATCCCAAACCCAAAACATTTTACCTAACTTTTCCAATTTTGCTAGGATTTTAATTTTGCATCCAAATCCAATTTAGTGTGTAACTCCCCCAATGTTGTTTCAACACTACCGATCTCAGTTGTATGTTAAGTAGTCTGACGGTCAGCATGTAAAATTTCATATCAAATTCTTTTTAGGGAAAATTATAAAAAAAATAAAAATTAAAAAAAAAAAAACTATTAGATTTGAACCATTTAACAAATTAAACCCTAAGTTTTTAAATATAAAAAACTAAGCATATAGCCGTTGATAGAATGAGGAGAAATATTTTTATGTAGCTTAGAAGTTTTGTTTGGTATGGTTATCTGAATAGTGTATATATTGATATAACAAGATGAATTTAACTTGAAAGTGCATTATACTGTATTCAGATCTTAGATTTGGGAGAGAGATTTGTGGGGGGAAAATACTAAAGGGAAGAGAAAATATGATTTTAAAAAAAAAGTTTATAATTCATTTATATATTTTGCTTTTTCTTTTCTAACTATAAATCCCTCTCTAAATTTGTTATCCAAATACAGAATTTTATGGACAGGATGGGAGTTAGGAAACAGTACCGGAGCTCGACTAGAAACAAATGGTATGACAAACTATCTATCTGAAAGTAACACTAATTAGCGACACTTTTGCACGTCCCGGGAAGCATAAACCCAACAAATTTTATGGCAAACTATCTATTCGAAAGTAGCACTAATTAGCAACACTTTGGCACGTCCTAGGAACCATAAACCTATCTCTTACGAGCAAGAAACACACAGGTAGAAACACCAAAGAGCTCGCCAATGTTGATCTAATTTAAAATTTCACTGACACTGGAATAACAATTCTACAGTTCAAGACTTCCCAAGAACTTCACATTGATTACTGCTTACAATTGCTTGCCAATTTGAGAAAAGAACTAACAAGAAAGAAAGATAGACTAGAAAATCTTATAACCTCTCTCATCTCTTATCCACTTTGGTGATGCCAACATTTTTCTGGCAACATTAATTTACAAAATAAATATATATACATTATCTATCTATCTATTTATTCTATTATAATTTGTGAACACCTAAGTTGGTGTTCACAAAAAAGTATTTCAGACCCTCACAAGAATTACATAATTCCACATATATTTACTTTTTTAATCAATTACAATCCTAAATTTTGGAGCCAAATACTCTAAATATAAGTATCATGTCTCTTGTAATTGTCCAAATTAAAGCCTTCCACAACTAATAAAATTCGATTCAAATCAAAATTTATAATCTACAATAGCACACCCATCAAGTGTGCACACATTAGTATTACGTAAAGTAAACATTAAACTTGGTGTAAATGTCACACATTTTCTTTTTTTGAAAATGCCCACAAAAAAAGTTACAAGAATAGTTATGCCATCATTAGGGGGGGAGGGGTGCATCCCAACTGCCTCTAACACAAGATTTATATAAGCAAGACTCAAACACTATGACGAATTTCTCCGTATAGTCTTACTATGAAAATCCAATCCTATATTTAAAGTTAAAACCAAAGCTAACTCATTTTAGAATGTATAATTTTAATGTCATGTTATTTCAATTTTAACTTGAACAGTTAGATCATATACTTTGTTAATGTCTCTTGCTGTGGTAAAAATGCACAACAAAATCATTGTAGAAAAACTATTATAGAGAAATCAAACTCTGCTGATGAAGGTGCGGCTTGACAATTCTAACCATTTGTTGCAACAAAATGACAGAAAACTAGGACAAAACAAACAACAACAAAGTTACAAGAACAAGTCAAAGTTGTACAACAACAATACTCTAAAAAGAAAGATGCTCGAGCACATGCTCAATTTTGATAAAGAGTACAGCTGAGCCTAATGAACCTACTTAAAAGAAGTAGTTGCTCTATAATGATCTCTTCTCTTCTCTGTTTCAATTCACCATAGGCATGGCTCATGACCCACAAGTCATCAAAACTGGTCCATATCCATTAACCCGGGGCCAATTGAAGAAAGCTCTCCGCCCCACTTACAAAAGATTAGTATAACACGAAATTCAGATCATTTGTCTCCTTTCTCTGGCGTTCTTCTTTGCCCTACCCTTCTCGTGTTCCTACGTCACCACAAATTGAAATTTATAACTACATCACAAGCTTTGCTACATTGATTGACTTAGCATTAATTTCAAATTGTAGTGGGATTGGGGGCCATGGTACATGTATGAGTGTCGGGTCGGTTGACCCATCAAATTGAACAAAACTAACCACATCTATCTAATGTATTATAAGTTTTGAGTATAATTTGTTATGTGACTCCATTGATTTGAATGATAAAATATGTAAAAGAAAGATCTTGGAGTTAGTTTTTTTTTTTTGTTTACCATTCAAGATTAATGTAATTATTTTCTTTAGTACTTATAAGCATAGTTGTCAAATTGGGATTCGTATTGTGAATCGAAATGGCCTCGTACTGAATCGCGAATCGAATTGAATCGTGAATCGTAAAGATTCGGTCACTTTTTCTAAATCACTTAAAAACATATATCTATACATTTAAATGTTAAATATATCTTATGAATATAAAATATTTAGACTTAAATCAACAAAAATGTTATTTTGAATGATAATCACGTAATTTAATAGATAGGAAGTTAACAAAGGTTCCTATGTAAAATCATCATCTTTCCTTTTTTTTTTTTTTTTAGATTTTTTTATCAACCATTCTTTATAAAGATAATAACCAAATAAACAAACTATTAATTTTTAAAGTAACAATAGTTAACAACGATATTGATATTTAGACAATAAGTATATATACTTTTCTAAGTAAGAGTGAACAAATAATAAGAAAGAATTATTTAGGATATTTTATTTTAAAGCCTAAAACATTTTAAAATGTATAACTTACCTCACACATGTAGTATTCAATTTAATAAAATAGTAATAGATAATTCATAGTGTAACTTTAATCTTAAACATCTTTAGAAGATATATTACAATTTTTTGAACGGGACAAAAATGAGAATAAAGGTTAAAAATATGTTACGTCTGACTGAAGCTGATTGGATCCTATAAAAAATTTCATAATCACTAAAATAATAACAAATCATATATATATGTTGGTTATTTTGGCATTAAATACTATTAGAAGTTGTATTATGTCATTTTCACTAAAAAGATGAAAAAAATGAGTCGAAAATATGTCGAACACAATAATTTCAAAAATTGCATGAATCGTAAGAAGTGAATCGAATCGTGAATCGATAGTGAATCGTGCGATTCACTAGAGATTCACTTCCAAAATAGATTCACTCATAGATTCGTATCGATTTTGCAAAATTTGCGTATCAAATCGAGAATCGAATCGTAAGATTCTGATAACATAGCTTATAAGTCAATCTAATGAACAAACAAAAATAATGACAAATTAGGATTTAATTTTTGGAAATTGAAATGAGTTTGGGGGGGGGGGGGGAAACTTTTATGAATAATTTCATGTGTTTGATGTAATTCAATATGTGGTGACAAAGACCCTGTTATGCTATGTCGCTATGAGACGAAACTAGAAAATTAATCTCGCATTCGATCAAACTTCTTGAATCTTTTTGATCGGTCAAGTTTCTACCACCACATTTATGGTGCCATGGCTTCCTTTGTTGTTGGGACATAAATAGTTTAAGTGATTTAGTTGGTGTGCTCAAAAGAGTCTATGCACCCTTTAAAAGCTCCAAATTGAAAAGCCATTGTCACAATCAACAAAACTGTCACTGAAGGGAGGTACTAATGCATTAACATAATTCATTTGAAGCCGATGGGTACTATCTCTGTCACCATGCTGAGATAATTGGTTAAGATTTAATAGGGTGGCAATTTCTTGACCAAACCAGAAAATAAAAATTAAAAATTAAAATAATTGATTTCTCCAAATTTTGGTCCCAAATGTCGCAGGTAGGGGAGAGGAAGGATGCACTGGGGATGGGTGGAGAGCGTTGGTGGCCGAACGGGGGATAAGGTTTAGGGGTGGTGGGAAGTGGGGCCAGTAGTGGAGGGTGGCTGCAAGTGGGGGAGAGGTTGGCACCGGCAATGGAGTTCTGCGGAAGCAACAGTGGAAGTGCTGGTGGCCGATGGAGATGGGGGAGAACGGCAGGTAGGTTGAGAAATTAAGGTTTAGATTTTTTAGGGTTCGAGTCCTTTTTTTGGTAATTTTAGGCGGACAAGATTGTTAAAAAACAAAAAAAAAAAAGGGTTGTGTAATGAGATGACTGTGGTTTATAGAATCACCCTTGCAATATGTAATCAAATCACATTAGAACATGCTGATGTATTTGAAGATTCTAGATTTAATGTACCTTCTCCATCAGTTGTCAACCTGCAAATTATGAAGTTCAGAATCTTCAGGTGCTTGTTCCTTGTTCCACGGACGTCCCTGATAACGAACCATCCAAAGATTGCCATCCACACCTAACCACATTTAAACAATCATGAGTTTTAATGTTGCAACTTTCCAAGATTTCACATTCAAGTTTGTCTTTAAGTCGTATCCACATGACTTTGGATGCAGATGAGACTATCCTCTCTAATCCGAAAGAATCAGAGTGATAAAATCTAACTAATCATATTCACAAAGATGTAAACAATAATTTAAACAACCCATATCAGAATATGAGAGAATAAGTCGTACCAATGCTTTCAAACACAGATAGCTTCTAAGGAATGACATCATCAGCACTACATGACAATACCTAGCCTAGGAACAACTGTAGACAACTGGAGATGTGTCAAGTCAAGCAATGCATTTGACACCAAAACTGCAGTTTGAACATTTTTGTAATTAGGAGAGTAATGATACAAAATACAAAAGAAAAAAACTAGAATTATATTTGCAACAATTATAATGTTCCTTCATCTCCATATTGGTTCCCTAATAACAATCCACACCAACAAACAAAGCTAATCCACATATATAGGAATGGGAATCTATGTTACATGGACTCGGATACGGGTGTCGGGTGCGGGTATGTATCTAGAGGTCGGACTCATTAAATCATAAATTTAAAGATACGCGGACTCGGCAAAAAAATGTCATATTTTTATATTTTTAATCTAATATGTGAGATAAAATGGTATTATATGTAACTTATAGTGTCAAAATGACATTTATAGCAATTATATAACAATATATACATATAATAATAGTGTTATATACAATTATATAAGAAGTATCCGTTGAAAAGTATCCGACACATATCCCATACCCTTGTCCGAGTGTCGGGTGTCCGACACGGGTATTTGATTTAATTTGAAGAGTCCATGTAACATAGATGGGAATTAGGTACTAATTTCCCATTCCTTTTCTAGCATATTTCTTGGTCTGATGAAGTTAGGCAGAATTACAAGATCCAAACAATTTATGAACTGTAAGAACCTCAGGCCCAGACCCAACGGCTCACAAGGTCTAGATTCGAATCCTAGCTGGAGAATTGGATTTCTCTGGTTCCACACACTCCCTCATTTATGATTGAAAAGTTGACAAATAATATCAGACCACTTGAGATTAGAGAACCTTTATTTTTTGATAAGTAAAATTCATTAATGAAACATCACAAAAAGGGGGCATAATCATCCAAAAAGCAAAAGACAGACAGAGAAATTTTATCAAAAAATCTCCTATATTATATGGGCTTGATATGCAAAGGTGGGGAGCTGAATAAGCATAAGATTCACACTTGACAGTAGTCTCCAGAAGAGTAATGAGAATATTTATTAGGAAGTGAAAGAATGGAAACCAAGCATAGATGCCACTAGTCAACAATCACAGTAACAGAAAGGAAAAGCCCAGGATATGGTAAAATAGTTTAGGGATTCTACTTTGAAGGGGATATTGTAAAACGACATATAAAACATTCGCGCAGGAAAAAGGGAAAAAACACAGGAAACATTCGGGTGAATCACATTCTTGACTCTATCAAACCAAGGTGGAGCTATGTAAATCATAGAATTCTGCTTCAAATTGGTAGGAAACAGTGAGAAAAAAAATAAATTCTATTCACACACCACAAAAAATTTCAATACACACCATTTGTGTCGTTCGGACATAAACTTCTGAACAAAAGTCAAATGTTCAGACATAAACTTCCAAACAAAAATGAATAGTTCAGATATACATTCCGTTCAACTGTTTTTTTGTTCAGAAGTTTATGCCCAAACATTTAACTTTTATTCGGAAGTTTATGTCCAAACAGAATAAATGTTGGGTATTGATATTTTTTGTGGTATGCAAATAGAATTACTTAAATAAAAATGTTAGGGACATTATGTTTACTAATAGTTATTAGTAATACAATGCAAGAAACCTGTTATTTGTCTGGGCACATTTCATCAACAGTAAAAAAAAAGCAGCTGATATGTCACTCTAAGGCCCTGTTTGGTACAACTTATTGTGGTTGCTCAGTTTCTTTATTATTATTTGGGAATCTGTACTAGTGTGTTTGGTGCAGCTTCTGCTCGCATCTTATAAGTCAAAAATAGCAAAACAACTTGCAAAGAAAGAGAGAGAGAATTATGAAAACAAAGAAAAACAAATTGCTATGCAATTCCACAAGAACATGAAGCACTCTGGCCAAGAAACAAGAAAATAACAAATTTGGCTTATAAAATTTTTCCTATGAAGTAGAACTTTTTTCTTTGCTACTAATTAGGCACTGCATCAATCTATCCAGTGTAAGGTTTTGGAAAAAATTACAATATGGTCCTGTCAACAAATAGGGTTATAACGTATATCCAACCTGCAAATAGCAATTTTTTTGAGTTTGTAAAATCATCTCAAGGAAAATGACATTGAATTATTGCCAAATCAAACTTGTATTATATTATCTAATCCAAATCATCGGATTAAACTTAGAACAAATGAAATATACAACAATTACACATGCAAACACACAACCTTGAAATAGGATGTATGGGTGACGAGTGTTCCAAATCAAATTAACACTATTATCAAACATAATACTTAAGTTGCAGTAAATGATAGTTTTACTACTGGAAAAACAGAATTAAAAAAACAATTAGGAGGCCAACATTAGAGATCAGGAGAAAAGCATATCTTGTATATAGATTACTAATAGCAAAAAAAAATGCAAGCAACTTTTAATTAGGCGTGATGCATTGGGTCAGCCCACATATCAACTGAGGGCATAATTGGCATCTTAATATAGATCACCCTAAGCTTTGTTGCAATGCAAATATCATCACTGAAAACTAAAAAGTGAACAAGTACTCTGATATTAATTAAAATAAATAAATAATTAAGTAAAGGTACTCCGATACAGACTTCACGGCATTGATATTTCTAACAATTCATGCATCTAAATACTCCTTTTTTTTCTTTCTTTATTTATTTATATTTATTTCGGTAATATCTACATACCTCTCTTACATGCACCTGCCTCCAAAGTACAAGAGACACGAGATGGAAACCCAAAAACATCTGCTAGCCAATGTATACAGCATGTGTATTTAAGACACCAAATAATTCATGTATTGCTACTCAATGCTCTTTGCCAGAATTGTCTAAACACTTGCCAACTACACCAACCTGCATGTGCACATTTCCTGTAGACCATTATGGTCATTACATGGATGCTTATGAGACTTCATTTTCAATATTTCTCAAACTCCAGCCAGACCAGACCTATTATGTTTCAGCAAAAGAAGTGCATGGTCAAAGCCCAATCTTAAGAATAACTGTTATTTGTACATCATCATTTTTTTAGTGAGAAGGGAATTGTGTTGACAAAATTAGAAAGAGGATTCCACATTCTATAATTATCTAGAATCATTAGGGAATTTCAATAAAAAATTATAGTCACTTGAAAAGTCAAAAATATTCGAGAATCATCTTGGATTACATATATATGTAGGATAAAGGTGGGATTTGATCATTTGATCAAATATCATTGTAAATTCAGAAAATCTGGGGAAAAAAAATACAAAAAACAAAAACAAAGATTCGGCTATATGGTCCAAAACCCCTATGTACACTTCTATTGCAAGCTAGTCCACATCTCCAGCATCATCCCAAAGCAATTACGTGGAAGGGATTAATATAGTATATGTTATGTTATTTTCATGTTCATAACAAAAGCGACATAAGTGTTCAGCTACAACACGTGTATTGGGGATTCAACAATGCCAAACTAGTGTAATGAATTTTCTAGAGTCAATTTCTATATGTTGCATGTCTATTTGGACCCCTCAGGATATGCTGTGTATTGGCAACTTGATCCACACAAGCACTGTTAGGCTTCAAAACACACCCACTCCTCATTGTAGGTGTCTTCAAAGAGGCCTTTCTTTCATGTGAAGGTCATACAAGTTTGAAGACTTGATTCACTATTGCATACATTCTGAAAATTTTGCCACTGTGTGACCTAAAAACACCATGTGTCTCAAGGATTTTGTACAATAGTTTTCCATGATTTTAAAACCACACTAGAAGTGGAGCAAACAATAAATATGTATAACAAAGGTCATACCAAATGCACAAGGCTCCCCGCTTACCTTTTCTCCATTTTTCTTAGAGAGGTTGATTCTCATTACCATTACTCAAACTCACAACCACAAAACTATGGTAATGATCTGTCCATCATGCCAAATCATGACCTCTTAGAGAACAATTAATATATAGCAATTTTTTTTTTTTTTTTAATAATTATTTTGAGTTTTGTTGTAATGTAACACATATTGCTAATAAAAAAACAATAGCACAATCCAACAAAAGGGTGAAACAACTAAATTTGACACCATAAAAGATCCTCGATACATGCCAGACATAGTGAAATTTGATAACTAGATCTTCCACATAACACCTCTTACAACACCAATTTGTTTGCCAATGTGTTTAAAAAATGATACAATAATTTAGAAATGAGGTCATTAATATACACCCAGTAATTGTGTCAATTAATGCAAAAGAAAATTGAAAGTTATGGCAATTTGGGCAAATAAATCTTATGCATCATACCTTCTAAATATGCTTTTGATCCATTGCATACTCATTAGCATGCTTGTCGTCACACAATTATGAGGAAGAGCCATCACTGGCAAGAGAATCACAATCAGCATTATATAACCAAGGGATTCGGCATCGAAAAGTAAATCATCAGACAAATGATGAAGCCAGAAGACATGCTACACCAAACAATTAAAATTCACAGGATTACTACTAAGATACAATAAGACTTTAAAAAAACTTCAAATCACTATTCAAAAAACTTCATATTACCTCCGAAATCATGCAGTTGATTTATGCATCATGATCAATGCCAAATGCTTAGCATCAGCTAGTTCTCACATGATTCTAATATCATATTTATGTCTAGCCACTGCCATTTCAAACTAAATGACTCTGAGAGTGAAAATTGGTAAATTCTATGTTGGCTCTAAAATGCAGATATACACTTCCGAAATGCCAAACTACAAGATAACTTGGTATAGAATCTTCCTAATTACTCACCAACTAAGAAGAACCATACTGTGGAGGTAAAACATGCCATAAGCTAAGGCACAACCTGTAAGTAGCCTATGCAAATCAGTTGGTCAATTCCTTATAGGTTGTATACTCCTATTAAATCTTCATAATTACTCACCAATTAACAAGAACTATGCTGTGGAGGTAAAATAGGCCCCAAGTAAGGCACAACCTGCAAGCAGTTGACAATGATATATATATATATATATATATGTATGTATGTATAACAATCTGCAATCCCAACCACAATGTCAATAATTCAAAACTACTTGCGTTTCTTTCTTTTCTTATAGGAATTACTCACCAATTAACAAGAACCATGCTGTGGTAGTAAAATTGGCCCTAAGTTAAGGCACAACCTGTAAGTATCCCATACAAATCAATTGGGGAAGATATATATATATATATATATACAGTAACTAATGTAATTCAAAACTACTTACATTTCTTTCTTTCCTTACAAATTATTAACAATAAAATGATATCAATCCATGCAATAGGGATCCTTGATACAGCTGCATAAGAAAATCCGGAGAGAGAACAAACACACAACGTAGGGGGATGCAAAAAAACCATAAAAAGAAACAAAAGTTGGAATTTCTTAAACAATACAGAGTAGAACAGATGAACATATTTTACAACATATTTTACAAGACATGAGCTCAGCTCCACTAATAGCAACACATTTACTTGAATGATAAATTGTTAATATGAACAAACAAACCATCTTGTATGCCACATGGTTTCCTAGTGTATACAAAGTATCAATCTACATCATGTACACCAAGATTGTGTTTAGATCATGAATTTGAGTAAGAATTTGAAAAGGGAAATGGAGAAAAAATTTAACTCATTTTATTCACATTTCCCTCAAATTTTCTTTTCCTTTTCCAAATCCATGATCCAAACATAGCCTAAGAGTCCCAAGACAAATCCATCTCAATAAAATGTTTTGGCTGGTCAAGCAATGTCATTTACAGTGCATGAGCCGGTATATGGATGTGTACTCCAGCTTGATATAGAGTAAGGTGATGTATAGCCATGGCAAATAATTCTCTCAATTCAGGATGTCGAGGCAACACAGAGCGAGCCGCGCCCTCAAGAACATTCAATACTCTTGCATGTTCAAGACCCTTGTCCTTGTCAATATTCAAAGCAAGGTAGCATAGCAATACAAGTTCATGCACTTGATCCCGACCATTGGCCTTGAGCAGATTCATTAGCTTTGGAATCCCATCAGAGTTGATAATCGCCTTCGAGTTCTCCACACGATTAAAATTATCCGGACAAACAAATTTACCAAGTGCAATAGCCGCTTCAGTACCCACATTTGAATTCCTATGCCCAAGTTGGGTAACCAAAGGACCAATTATTCGAGTTTCTCTCATTGTGAATGTATGTGCCAGAGATCCAATCGAATTTATAGCGGGAATCAGCAATGTAGGACTGGTTGATTCGTTCATCACTCTCAGAAGCTGTTCCAAAACTGCCTTTGCAGCTGGGGAAGTGGGTCTAAAAGCCAGTCGCCTAAGCTCAGTGTTAGATTCTGCTACAGCAGCTAACTCCATCACTGCCATTAAACAATTAATCTGCAATTCTTCCTTTTCCTTTTCAATGAGTTTTGCCAAACAAAGCAACCCTTTCGTTTCGGTTATCTTCCTACTATTTAACAAACACCCTTTCGAGAGTTTCCACAAAGCGTTTGCACAACTAATCCTGAGATCAAGTTTCAATTCAGGTGATTCAAATCCCTTGTCCTTCTTATGCAAAGTCGTCGAAGAACTCGAATTCGAATCCGTATGGAGGGTATGATTCAATAATGGGCTTCTAGATAATTCCTTATTAATCTGAACAAGTGAATGAATACTAGTACTACCTGCTTGAAGCTTTGTATCATCCAATTCTATATCCACGCACAACAACATCACTAGAGGCCTAATTACATTCTCTTTCCCAAACTCTTCCTGAACATCCGAATCCATCTCGGCCATCTTCGCCACCAAATTCGCCACCGCAATCTGAACCTTAATCGGAGAATCTCCAAGAACCTGCAAAATTACCGCCGCCGCGTGCTCTCTGGCTATTAATTTGACCCTTCTGGGATCATTCCCCACGCTAAGGAGAGCTCCAGCGGCGACGATTTGAGATTCTGGCGAAGCCCGTTCTTTCAACAACTTGAGCAACGGCGGAACTCCGCCTTCTTCGACGATTATCTTCTTCTTCAAATCGTTGTCTCGGGCAAGGGAAGCGAGGTTGTTGGCGGCGTCGATACGGCCGCGGTGGTGGTGGTTCATTTGTACGGCGGCGATGTAGGTCCAGACAAAGGCGAGGGTAGGGTCGTTGCTAGCGATGGGAGGGAGAGATAGATTGGCGCCTCCGCCGTCGGAGTCGAAATCGAAGATGGATAGGAGCCAGGCGACGTCGGCGGAGGAGGAATCGAGGAGGGAGGAGACCTTGCGGTGGTCGGCGGTGGTGGTGATGGCGAAGACGTGGCGGAGGACGCCGCCGCCGTGCTTGCACTTGCGAACTAGCGTTAGGGCGCGGTCGAGGTTTTTGGATACATCGGCGGCGATGCGGCGGAGGGGACGGTCGTAGAGGGAGGAGGCGGCGGCGGCGAGGCGGGCGGCGCAGCGGAGCTGGTGGGAGAGCTTGTGGGCTTGTTTGGCGAGTTCGGCGCAGTCGGCTAGGGAAGACTCGGCTTCTTGAGCTGACTTGATGACTCGGTCAGCTAGTAAGATTGGCAGTGAAAGCTCTTCTTGGATGGACTTCTCTTGCTCCTCCATTTTCGGTGCTGGTTTCTGAAATCTAGAGAGAGAGAGAGAGAGAGAGAGAGAAAAGAGAGACTTTAATTCGACTGCGTCGGTCAATAAGACATTATTTTATGGTCAATCATTATAATACTAGTATAAATAATGAGACGTCACATTAGATTAATGTTAAGAGCCTTTTCCCAAATTAAACTAAAATAACAATTTAATTTTAAAATCACGCCTAATTTGGACGGAAATTTTAAATTAGGTTAAAGTACTATTACAAATCACATTTTCACTGTTTTTAGGCTAATCTCGTGAAAAATTTGTGAAATAGTAAAAGCGTGGTTTGTAATCACGCTTTTAACAATTTTTTTTTTTAGAAAATGTGGTTACAAAGTACGCTTTTAATCAAAAAAAAAATTTCAAAAAACGTAATTTCAAACTACGCTTGTACTGTACTTATAGTTTTAAATTTTTTTTCTGAAGAAAACGTGATTACAAATCACGCTTTCACTATTCATATTGTTTTCTTAAGAAAACGTGATACACAATCACGATTTCACTGTTGAGTTACAAAAAGTATGGATTGCAACCACGCTTTCACTGTTTATTTAAATTTTATTTTATTTTATTTTTTTCTGTTGTCATTGTTTTGGTGATAATGTAATTCAAAAAAAAAAATTGGCTTTATTAAAGCCGTTCTCATGTTAAATTTTTTTTTTCTTTTCTTTTGTCTTTATTTTGGGTTAAAAGGTGTAATTCATAAATTTTTTTTGACTTTACTAAAGCCGTTTTCATGTAAAAAATTTTTGTTTTTTCTTTTGTCTTTGTTTTGGATTAGAAGGTAATAATGTAATTCAGAAATTTCTTTTGGCTTTACTAAAGCCGTTTTCATGTAAAATTTTCTTTTTTTTCTTTTGTCTTTGTTTTGGGTTTACAAGGTGTTATTTAGAAATTTATTTTGGCTTTACTAAAGCCGTTTTCATTTAAAAAATATATATATGTATATATATATTTTTGTCTTTGTTTTGAGTTAGAAGGTGATAATGTAATTCAGAAAACCGGTTTAGTAAAACCGTTTTCTAGCCGTTTTCATTAATTTTTTTTTATTTTTTTTCCTTTCGTCTTTGTTTTGGGTTAGAAGGTGATATACATGGTTTACAGTCCAAAGCACACCCAGACACTATGCAGTTCAACGAACAATGACAAAGGGTGAGATGCGAAGAGCACCGCGGAGTAGGCCAAGAAGACAAAGGCCACCGCGAGAGCTGCAGCGAGAAGGAAGAAGAGAAAGACCTCAAATTTTAGTGATGTATTTTTTACATACGAATGGTACTTTTTTCGTTTTTTGCTATGTAATGTAACTTGTATGTAATTTGAATTCTGATTACGAATAGGAACTTATGTAATGTAAATATTGGGTTGGAATTGATATATTGTGATTCAATTGGTTTCGCTTATTTCATAAGACTGATGTTGTGCAATGAATGAATGAATGGAAATGTTATTTGTTTTATTCAATTGGTAGTGTATTTTTTGTAAGAATGAGAACGTTATTTGTTATATTCAATAAATAATTGTTACATTTTTGGGTTGTCACGATTGAGAAGATGAACAAGTTAAGAGAATGTGTATTTCTCCTAAAATAAATTTTGTCAACATTTTTGTAATAAAACTTAATACATAATATACGAAGTTACTAATTTACTAAATATTCATACAGGCATGAAAACAACATAACTGAAGTTGCAAATGTAACAGTTTTCAGTTACATAGGTAGTACAAACATAAGTCTCCCACAAAAATACATTATGGACACCATGAACTGAACACACAATACATATATCCTGGATACCTTGAACTGAACACACAATACATAAACATAACAGTTAGACAGACAAATATTAGGCAGACAATTTGACAAACTCATTACGGAAACACTTAGTCTAACACAGACATTACATATTAATGCATGACCTAATATTGCCAAACTATAGACATAAACACCTAATTCGCGCTTAAATCGGCAATCTTAGAGTCTGAATAATCCGAAAGCTCAGCGTTAGAGACAAGTTCAAGATCCTCCATGATACCATTGATAGCCGCAACATTTGGTTCTGTTCTGTTCTTCTGGGCATCCTTCTTAACTATGCATAGTTGCGTATCGCGGGCTAACCTACGACGCATTTGAGAAATCTCACGTTGTAGTCTTTCACATAGTCAATCAACATTATCAGGATCTTCATTTTGGATCTCAGCAGAACATGCTTTTGGCACCTTAAGTTGATTTTCCCGACTTAAGGTTTCCAGCTGTACCCGCTCTATAAATAGTGCAGGCCACTTGAGACGAGCATCGCCAGATAAACCATATCCTAGTTGATTGTCAGATGGCTCCATACATGAACCTCCTTGAACTCGATAATACTTGGGCATAAAAAAATGTCACTTCCCAAACCTATCACGATAACCACAAGCATAATCTAAAACAAGTATTTTTGTTTCGTCTTCAGCATCGCCACGTCCCATTTCCCCTCCTCGTCGTGAACTGTCACCCATTTGCAAGTTCCTACCACCTCTGCGATTCCCACTCCCTCCCATGAAATCGTGTAGCCATGCTAATTTTTTTAAACAAATGAATGATAATTTCGTAGGGCGAAATGAGTTGTAAGGTTGTGTCTTCACCTTTAGTCGTTTATATAGTTGGTTATGAATGGCTTTAGAAAGATGCCTCTGCATGACAATCCCACATATACGAACAAGGTATGAGTTGTCACTAGAATGAAAAAACAGAGAAAAGCAAATACTGTGCACCAAGTCACATGACTTGACAATCCATCTACATATACCGACAAATTAAGGGCATGCTCACTGTAAGGTAAATCAATGAATTCACTGTTGCCATGTGACTTTCTGAATTGACAATCCCACATATGTCAATAACAGATGAGTTGTCACTGTAATAAGAAAACAAAGAAAAGCAATGCCTGTGCACCAAGTCACATGACTTGACAATCCATCTGCATATACCGACAATATAAGGGCATGCTCACTGTTAGGTAAATCAGTGAATTCACTGTTGCCATGTGACTTTCTGAATTGAGAATCCCACATATATCAATAAGAGATAAGTTATCACTGTAATAAAAAAATCGAGAAAACCAACGCCTGTGCACCAAGTCAAATAGTGATCCTCTAGGTAAAGAATTTTTACAGTTGATTAATTACATATTAAATTACATATCAGAATTTTCTCATAATTTTTTGGAGTCAAAATCTATATTAGCTGGTGCATTCAAATCTGTCCAGAAAACTGGTGTTAAACAGTAATTTCAGAAGTATTGTTCTCTTTGGATATAAATCCGAAAAATATCAAATCAGCGTCATTAGAACTGGTTACAAGTCTAGTTTCTTACATTTTTGGCCTTGCGTTGATTGTTATTCTATACTAAGAGAATCTTCAATTTCTTTAAAGAGGTGCAGAAAACAATCAGTTTCGGTATAATTAATTGTAAATAGATATTTTGACAAGCAAATCAGGTAAAACCAATTGGGTTTTAAACTTAGTCCCCCAACTGGACCAACCACTTGGCTTTGAGCTTGTTTGTCCAGCCCCCAAGTTTAGTTTTCTGTCAACCCCTCATTCCTTACCAGAGTCATCATTTTGACTAGACTTCCAAGAATTGGAAGGTGACTCTTTCTTCTTTCCTGATGGAGATTGAAATTCTTTACCTAGAGGATCACTATTTGACGAGCCCCAGTTAAGGAAAGCTTCTCACCGAGCTGCCTGTTCTGTTTTATGTGTTGTTGAAGGCGATAGTTCGTTTGTCTAAACTTTATTAGTCCCTCAACTGGACCAATCACTTGGCTTTGAGCTTGCTTGTCCAGCCTCCAAGTTTAGTTTTCTGTCAACCCCACATTCCTTACCAGAGTCACCATTTTGACTGGACTTCCAAGAATTGGAAGGCGACTTTTTCTTTTTTCCTGATGGAGATTGAAATTCTTTACCTAGAGGATCACTATTTGACGAGCCCCAGTTAAGGGAAGCTTTTTACCGAGCTACCTGTTCTGTTTTATGTGTTGTTGAAGGCGGTAGTTCGTTTGTCTGAACTTTATTAGTCCCTCAACTGGACCAACCACTTGGCTTTGAGCTTGTTTGTCCAGCCCCCAAGTTTAGTTTTCTGTCAACCCCTCATTCCTTACCAGAGTCATCATTTTGACTGGACTTTCAGGAATTGGAAGGCGACTATTTCGTCTTTCCTGATGAAGATTGAAATACTTTACGAAGAAGATCAGTATTTGAGGGGCCCTAGTTAAGGGAAGATTTTGACTGAGCTACATGTTCTATTTTTTGTGCTGTTGAATACGGCAGTTCGTCTGTCATAACTTTATTAGTCTCCTAATTAGACCAACCACTTGGCTTTGAGATTGTTTCTCCAGCTAACAAATTATGTTTTATCTGTCAAAATGCATTTGTTTTCCTCTCCTTATCATTTTTCATGTTCTGTTGGAATAGATGGTGCATTAAGTTTTGTATGTTTCTAATGTGAACTTGTACAATATATTGTTGTTATACAATGTAGCATTGTTGTGATTTTGTGTTTACTTGTATTCATGATATTATATTTCTATTTTAATTTCATTTTGTGGGATAATTAGTGGGGGGTAAATTTTCATGACACTTCTAGTGTCTACAAATTTGAAAGCACAAATCTTAATTTTGTTTTCTCTCTCTTTGATATTAAATTTTGATGACACTCCTAGCAATACTCTCATAAAAATCATAAAAAAAATTATTACCACAAATTTTTAAAATAAGTTTAAGTTTTTTTAAATGTCTTCATAAACATCTAACATGTAAATATTTTTGTTGAAATGCTTCAAAATTTCATAAACAAAATTAAAAAAAAAAACTAAATAAAGTACAACATCAAAAACTTTATAAGTCTACTGATATGTCAAGAAAAGGATTGGTTGATAATTAAATATTATCTGATTATCAACCAATCATCTTCTTCACACATCACTGAGTC